TTGTTCTGTTGTATTGGTTTTCTTTTAGGATTGAACGTCTTTGGCGAGAGGTTTACACACAAGTCCTCGATTTGTTCCACATGTTGTTTTTCCATTTGGAAGTGACTGGACTGTTGAATCCCGATGATGAGATCCACCTCTTTGCTCTGCATTGGGCATTTTTTCCCTAGTTACAACATCAGTTTAACACTTTTAAAGAAGCATGGAACCTGCACAGGCTGAGAACGGAGAATGGTCGCTCTCCGTATCAACTTTGGCTGCAAAACAGAGAGGCTGCCGATGATCTGGAAACTGTATGTTTGCACATTTTAAACTCAAAATCACTTAAAGGGCTAGTTCGCTCAAATTCTGTCATCATTTACTCACTCTCAAGTTCTACTGGACAAAGGAAGATATGTTGAAGAATGTTGGTAATCAAAAAGCTCTGGGACACCACTGACTTGTATGGAAAGAAATGTTATGGAAGCCGGTGGTGCCCCAGAGCTTTTTGGTTACCAACATTCTTTGAAATATCCTAATGTTTTACACTTACATTAATGTAATTTAACAACACTCACTTATGCCTACATCAGAACAAAAAATATATGCCTTCGTGACAAATGCTTGTAACATTTATTGGATGTTTTGCAAGGTTGAGGATGACTATGGTGTTGACTGGGATGGCCCACATGCCATGGAAGATGCAGGCAGCATTTCAGTCCCAGATGTAGAGTTACCACCACATCTCACTGCAGAGGAGTTGGCAGGTCTTCCCAACTGGGAAATGCCAATAAATGAGGCAATCGATGCCTACATGAGCACAGTAGCCCAACTGACAGAGATTTTTAGACATTGAATGTTTTGAACATGCATGGACATCACAAACAGCTTTTCCTTTGGCGAGTTTATTTCGACAAATGCCTGAACTACAAAATTTCCTAAGAATAAAAAAAAAAGAGAGAGAAACAAGTAGTTTTCTTTAACATTTGTTCTTCATTTAACTCAAGGTTAACTTCACTTTACTCATTAGAATTTCCACCACTGCAATGAGAGCTCTTTAAAGCTTCCTGTCAAGAGCATGCATTTTTATAAAAGCAAGAAATGTGAAAAATACTGTAGACAACGAACATGCCATTAAAATGTTTTCCTAAATATGCAGTTCATGAATACTTAAATATTACAACTCCGATAAGGCCAAAGCCAAACCTTGTGGATGAAACGGCGGCTCTCGTTGCTTCTGTAAATGCAAGAAAGGTTCTGCATCTTAAAGGAAGTTTCAGTGTCGTGAGGCAGGTTGAAGCCACTGGGAGAAAAGCCGTAACATCACAAGATTGCTCCAGGTTCAAAGGGGTTTCATCTTCATCACTGTCAGGCTCTGGCCAGGTGACTCTCCTAAGTATCATCTCATACAAAGATAGCAGCTCTGAATACAAGCCTTAATATAGAGTTGAAACAATGCAATTCATCCACTGACCTAGTGTTTTATTACAAACAACCCACCAACTGGGCTATACGATTAGACTTTTTTTTTATATTACAGAAAATTAAATGCTTGATTTAGTGCAATGGCTTCCATACGGTCTATTCTCCTAAGTAGAATAGACCAGTTACCTCTGGTTCCATCAGCAGTGCAGAAGATCTGGGAAACAGTCCTGCAGTTAAACTGGGTCGTTCTTTTATCATTCTCAAAACACCTGTATCTTTGAGTCCTCTCCGCAGCGGAGACATCTGTTTTTCACGTCGACCAATAACCTAGAAATGATCCACAAACAGTACAAAGTATAAACACTAGGCAAGCCATGATGAAAGATTGAAGCTTTTGTCCTAACTTAATGGTTATGTAAAGAGGCTTACGTAGAGTTAGAAAAAGTTCAAGTCAATTAACAAATACTTCCACCTTTATATGATAAGCTATACATACCCCATGGTGGAGAATGGTTTCTGCCGACCACCTTCTGTTGCTGTTGCTGACTGCTGGCAAGTCCCAGTTGATGGCCAGGTTGTTGATATTATCTATTTCATTCTGATTCAGTTCATTCTGGCTTTCCAGCTAAGATTTACACAAAGTGTGAAAAGGTAAGACTTGCACAGTACAAGCGCAGCTTGAGCTTCTCGAGTCTGTTCAGTAAAGAGCGTTTTGATTGGTGGATTAAAAGCTCACCGCGATTGGCTGAACGGAACATCCTCCAAAAAAAGATATTTATGAATCTTAACCTGCCAGGAAGGTCTCAAAAATACCACACACAAATTCAAAGCAGTCCACGCATGTGTGACGATCTGCAAATGCAGGTTCAACGATCCATAAATACATGTACCATCATTCATAAATGTGTGATGGAAATGAATTCAAGAACTTGATATATACATATTTGTGTAAGCATTTTAAATTTATTTAGGTAAGATGCATTTGTGTGAGCATTTGGGGAAATATTTATGCTTTTACTTGTGTATTTATGAATTGGGTTTTGAATTTACGAATCGGATTTTGTAAATGTAAATTGTGCATTTATGAATTTTGTTTTGCAAATGTGTTATTTTTGAGGCCGATCTGCCTCCATAAAGTGCCGTTTTTCTCCATCCCCTAATGCAGCATCTCCTGTTTTTAATAGAGATTACATACAATTTAATAATCCTCAAAGTACTAATGCAAAACAAGCAGAGCTACTTTGCACCAATAAATACATACCTTTAAGTTTTACAGTTAACGGACTTGTCCAATCAACATTTGGACGTTTATAAAAAGCTAACGTTTCTCGTTCACGATCCTTTTCACAGCTGTGCAGATCTAGTGTAACAACTAGGTCTGGTTTTTCATCTGCATTCTTTAAGATCTGTCTTCGATACAAGATATAAGATTCAATATCACTCTCTTTGCAGCTGTAAAACGAATTTGTCTAAATGAAGATAAAATAAAAATTAAATTATGTTTTCAGGTGGATAATACATTAATGTAAGCATGATTTAAGCAAACCCTTTTATCTGGGGGGGGTAGAGAATTGTATTTTTTTTTACTTGGAATGGTAATCCTCTTCTCTCCTATTCCTGCCCTCTCTAATATGTTTTTCACTGATGGACTTGGCACCTCACATTCCTTTCTCTTGGACAGGCAGAAAAAACGATGGGTGTAGGAAGCACTTTTAGATTATTTTGCTGAAGGTCCAGCGGTGTTGGGACGTTTCGGCACACGGCCCCGTGAATTTGAATATGGTGCAAACAATCTTAAAACTTCTGCTGCAATAAAATGGTCATACATTATGAACACTACATTGTAGTAGTTTGTATTTTAATAAATTTACTGTGTAATTCAATGTCAGGGCTGCCAACTGTATTAACCAGGATTTAAACACATGCGAATGTGGGAGATCATGCGAGGAATTCGATTTCGCTGCTTCACGTTTGGTGAACTCTTGACCTGCGAAATTGTGCGAATTCGTATCACGTGACCAATACCAATCACAACGCGACCTTTAGCTGTATTAAAAGAATAAGAAACTTTTTGCAGTAAAGTTGACGATGGTCAACGAATGTGATCGTCAGTAACAACCCACCTCCCCAGACCCCGAGTGAAAGTTGGCAACCCTAGGCCAAACTGTTGCCTTGGTCTTTATCTGCCAACTTACCCCGTGTCCCACCACTTCGATCCGGAGGTGTCGCGCTCAGACCAGACGATGGATTTTCTGAAGGGCCAACATTTGCAGTTTGCCGCTCAAGTGCTTCTCGGAGAAGCTGTGGAACAGACTTCGCCATGTTCCCTCCCGCCAATTATCAAAATACCCAGGACAACGCAAAGTAAGCCCTGCCTTGAAGCAATGAGTGACGGAGGGTGGGCGTGGTCAGCTTGGAATGCATTTTCAAATTGAGTTTAAATAAACATCCAAACGGGGTAACACAGGGCAGGCAGGAACACACACGTAGCACGTAGCATCGATGACACAGAACACTAGGCACAGGAAACACTGGGCTTAAGTAACAAGGAACGAATGAGGATAATTAAGGGAACACAGGTGAATGGAATGACAATCAAACATGAGGGAGAAACTGGGTCACGGAGAGCAAAACAGACACACAGACAGTCCAGGGGTGTGGCAGCTCTAGCCTTAATGTACATCTATTTTGACATATTTTTGCCCTATCCATTGTTATGGTTACCACTTTAATTGCAGTGATAGTGATTTCCTCATATAAATGCTGCATTGATATGTGGATGTCACCCCTGAAATTCTGCAGCATGTAAGCAGTCACTGGTCCTCTAGCTATCATGAAAAAAAAACTTTCATATTCGGAATGGATTATAGCCTAAAAAGCGTGCAAAGAGCGCTCACTCCCCTTATACTCACTAAAAAGCATCACTCATTTCAGTTTATCGTGATCTCACAAAGTTGCATTGTAGTCAGTGAAGTTCACTGTACAACGAATCTCTTATTTAGCTATCATTTTACACTTTCTTTGTTATAATGAGAGAATTCCAAGCGTGCAACTTAAACGTTTGGCCATTACGTTCAGGAAATCAACAGAAAATGTAGGTGTTTAGCTACATTGATCAATGCTACAAATACACGTTGAAAATAGAAACCTTTGAAGCACTGCAGAGTTCAAACACAAATACACACTGGAGCATTTGGAAAATATGTTTCGCCAATATCGTATTTCTACAGCTTCAACTGACGTGCACTTGCTTTCGCTTCATTCCCTCTAGCACTTCCGTAAAAACGACCCTGGATACAATTAATTGCAAATATATATGTAACGAGTATTTCATACATGTTTTTAGTTGGGAAAAGGTCATAAAAATATCAAAGCCAAAGGTTTACATAAAGCAATAGATTAGCGATAGCCGCGTTAGTAGTGTGAGAGGGTGCTTATTGCGTCTGTATAGACATGCTAAAAAGCAAGAAATTAATTTAGTTTGTGTCTGCTTATTCTATTCATCAGTGTTTGAAACATTTAAGAAGAAACCGCATTTTCCGTTTTCATTTCTGCGTTAAAAAATGTAAAATAAATGAACGCAAATGTAAACAGACCTTTATTAATATGGAATTTTTATTTTCAGATTTTTTATTAATATGTAAATATGAAATTATACTCCAAGTAAGAAACTTACTGCCACCTACTGGAAGTTTTAATGTCATTCAGTAAATGAGTCATTCAGTCATTCATTCATTCATTCGATTCATTCAAACGGCTGACTCGTTCAGTAAATTACTCCCTTTATGAATGGGCCATTAAATCATTGATTCACCCGATTTGTTCAAAACACGGATTCATTCAGAAACTAATCACCACTGCGTTGCTTAGAGATGCACAGCACTTCTGCTGTGGCTTTAATAGGTCATATTTGCACTGGCAAAACTGAGCAAAAACAGACAATATTGTCTAAAATATTACAAAATATTATGTTTTATTGAACTGTTGCATAAAATCAATGTAACATTTGCACTCGTGCTATTTGGGACAAAAACAGCACTTGTGTAATATTGCATGCGTTGCTCATGTGATATATGACATACATATAAGACAAAATCTCACACAGGGGCATTTTTGCCCCATTCTCTTGAATTTTAGGGGCATATAACTGCATTCTATAGGCTACATCTAAGAGTTGTTGCCCTGCATCATGTTTGTCACCAGCTGTATAGGTATGTTTGGCCTGAAGCGTAGCTGTGCTATTTGTTTAGCACTTTGCTAGCATGTTTTAGAATATTGTTAGCCTGTTTAAAGCATGGTTGAACATGTTTTTTCTTGATCATCTTGTTTTAATAATCATCAGAAGCCAAAATCATAATTGAAGATATAATGTGGTTAATTGCACTGCACTGTGTGCGTTTACTGACTGAATGTGACTCTGTGTGTGTTTTCTAGTGTGGATCATGAAGGAGAATACAGGATTACAGCAGGATGTCGAAAATGTACGTCTACACACAATCACACACACTCACACAGCTGTAGTGATTGTTGTTGTGTTATTAATGTCTCTGTTCTTGTGTTCAGATGGCTGTTTTCTCACACTGGATCCAAACACAGCACACACTGAACTCAGTCTGTCTGAGGAGAACAGAAAGGCGACACATGTGAGAGAGAAACAGCCGTATCCTGATCATCCAGACAGATTTAATGTGTATCCTCAGGTGTTGTGTAGAGAGAGTGTGTGTGGACGCTGTTACTGGGAGATTGAGTGGAGTGGAGGTGTGTTTATTTCAGTGTCATATAAGAGCATCAGCAGGAAGAGACGGGGTGTTGAGTGTGTGTTTGGATATAATGATCAGTCCTGGAGTTTGATCTGCTTTCCCTCCAGTTACTCATTCTGGCACAATAACATAGAGACTCGTCTCCCTGTAAAGTCCATCATCAGCAGCAGTAGAATAGGAGTGTATGTGGATCACAGTGCAGGAACTCTGTCCTTCTACAGCGTCTCTGACACAATGAGCCTCATCCACACAGTCCAGACCACATTCACTCAGCCGCTCTGTCCTGGGTTTACTGTTGGTTCTGGATCATCAGTGAAACTGTGTTGATGAATCAGAAGAGATGAGATTCCACACATAATGCAGCTGCATGATGAATCACTGACAGATGTTATAGAGTCTCTTCATGAAATGAATACTGCAGCTGAAATACTGTCAGTGAATTAACTTGAGAATAAATGTGTCATAAATCCTCATATATGTGTGTGTCCTGCTCAGTGACGATGTGTTACTGTTTGCATTATTATGATCAGAATTACCTTTCAGTTAAAAAAGCTTCTTTCACAAACATTAACTTGAGTGTTTCTTAGTTTCTATATTTCTTCTGATCCCCTCTTTCTCTGCATAGTTACAGTATTTATTATTTAATTGCTAGGACACATTTCTCAATATTTTGGTCACTTCACACAGTTCTCTTAACCAACTTTAATCTTGCCACAGCAGTTCATTTCACATTCAAAATGCACAGAAAATACCAAAATACTTCATACATGTTTCAAATCAATTAATTCTTCATAACACAAGCAAAGGTTTTCACCCAACAAACACACTTTATCACTTATAAAACAACCTAAAAAACACTAACAGTCAGCATTATACAATGTATGCTTTCATAAAATTGCAGTTAGAATTCACTGCAGTAAATGTTACATAGTCCATGTTTACATTACAGTTCAACATTATTCCTAATTGGTTTTCTTTTGTATTGATGGTTATGTAATTGAAAGACTAACTAGTTGTTCTGCTTAATCTGTTTTGATAGCGTTTCATTTTTTAAATTCAGAATATATTTCAACATGGAATTACTGTAAAAAAGCCTTATTAATTTTTGTATTATGATGGGTTTTGAACTTAATTTTGAATTTTAATTTTGTTTTGTAAAGGTAAGGCAAGGTAAGTTTATTTACACAGCACATTTCATATTCAATGGTAGTTCAAAGTGCTTTACATAAAAAGGAATTAAATCAATCACAAAAAATAAAAGCAAAGAATTTTAATAATTCAAAAATTATTTAAAATTAATTAAAACAGTTAAAGGGTTAGTTCACCCGAAAATGAAAATGAATCCATAAATTACTCACCCTCAAGGCATCCTAGGTGTGTATGACTTTCTTCTTTCAGACTGTAACGGGGCTGACGAGACGTGAGACGTGTGGATCCATCTGCAAGCTTTTATTCAAGAGACTTTTTATTCAAGGTATAACAGGCAGGGTCGAACAATGGCAAACAGGTATATGGCGGGCAAAACACAAGAATAGTCTTAGGGCTAGCATATGTCACCGATCGGCAGACAGAATCACAGGGGCGAGATGAGAGGGAAAATCCAGGAACACAGGCAAAGATCAAAAACCGCGAAAACAGGCAAGGCAAGGCAAAACAAGGAAAACACAGGGACTCTGAATGGGGTACAGGCTAAACAATACTCAGCAGAGAATGGCGGTTTGAGTGGGTGTTATATAGTGAGTGAGGTGATAAGAAACAGCTGTGTGCAATGAGTGCAATCAGTGCAGTGTGCAAACCGTGCAATGAATGATGGGATATGTAGTCCGGGGTGCTATGCAACAGTTTGTGCTGTGCGAGAGTCAATGTAATGGAAAGGGTGACCTCTGGTGGTGAATGAA